AGTTTTATTCGCACTCAATATCGAGGTCTTCGTGAGTGGCATTCCGCAAGATAGAGGAGAAACTATTCATTAACTTTTGCTCCTTGCTTGTTGGGGCGCATTCGACATCACAGGATACGGAGTTCTTCAAGAGGTGTGATATTACCAACTCTGGGCAGAAAATACTCTTTGTTCTTCATGTTACACCCATCCATATATACCATACTTTGGCGCGTTCGTCAAGCGGCCGGCAACCCCTACCTTTTTTGAAAGCTGACCCCCACCCTCACCTTTTTCAAAAACCAATTGATATCATTGGGCAGTGGAAGACGGTTTTGGCAGGAACTGATTCACCTCAAGCATTCAGAAAGTCGCCGAAGGCGGTAAAACTAACATAAAAAGATTTTTACAACCTAGAGGAGAAAGTCCTGCAAGCTGCAAAAATGCCGTCGCCCACAAAACCCGACCCTTGGTCCCATGCCTATGAAGCGCTACGCTTACCTCTACTCCAAGCCGCCACTGCTGGTATACCGGCGACCACGTCTATTGTGCTTTCTCCTGTTGAGCATCCACAACTTCGTTCAGAGAATCGTTTGGCAGATTTTGAATGCAGATTCGAAATTAGCATCGAAAAATACGTCTAGCAGTGTAGGTCTCATTTCAAATGGCCACTTCGACTTGGGATCCTTCCCTTGTGAGATCGGAATTGAAGCGAAATTTCTGCATACGATAGGGATGGCCATGAAGCTTCCGCTTGACATTTTTCCATTACCTTAACTCCGATAAGCTGTGCCCGTTGACTTCCATTTGATGGGTATCGACCAGGATATCGACCGACTGGCAGGCGGATCATTTTAACAATCCTATCTTTAGAAACATCGGCCTTTCTGCCTTTCCTGATTTGTCTCTGATTCAATCTTCTTTTGTATCTCGTCTATTAGCCTCCTATACGATTATTATGAAAAATCCCAAGAAATTTCATGATGCCCTTCCACCTCTCGCGTGTCAATGATTGCAAGTGGCATTGCTGAGCCTCCTCCACTAAAAGATATTGGGAGTTTCACATCGGTGACCATGAATATTGCAAGGAAACCTTCTTATGCAACTATTTAATAGCAGGCTTTGTGGATTTGATAGATATTACTAACTTGGGAAGTTCTGAATTTTGGCGACAGTAGTTATGGAACACCCTGTATAAGGAAGTTATTCTCAACATGAAAGACGGGTTCAGCAAGATGATACCTTTTCGCCTAAACTCTTCAGGACCGGTCTTAAGAACATGCCTCATTCGCAATTGGAAAATGCGAGTAAAATTTGAATTCGCCAGCACTTGTGTACAGATTAGCTCAACAGAGAGTGGAGATCAACGTCGAAGACAATATTTATGAGAAGAAGGGAGGTACCTCTACTATGCTCTCCTCACGCTTAACCGAATGAATATCTCCAAGGGCTCTCACAACGGGCACCCAGTTCGAGAAGTCAACATGATGAACGACCTAGCTCTGGAGCCGAAAGGAATGAAACGCGCGTCGTAAGAGCATTTGAAATTATCGAGGGAGTATGAAGATGACAAAGAACACCGACTCCGCGCTCGCTTATCGAACACTGCTGTTCTTCCTGCTTTGATGTACACCTCGGAGACTTGAACTATACGAAAGCAGGATAGACATGCTGTCAGCGTCGCGTCACTCGACACGTGCTTGAAAATTCCTTATACACGCAAGTGGGGAAAGGAATCCGGAGTACCGAACTTCGTCAAGGATCGAAGATTGGGAGTGCCGTTGATTACGCAAAGAAATCGAAGTTCAGGTAGCGCGGACACGATATGCGATATTGTGATGATTGTTGGACCAAGGCGGTTACTGATTCGATATCTGGGGACGCCAAACGAAAATCAGGACGGCCGCTAGTGCGATAGTCAGACTCCTTTACGAAGGCTCTCCGGAGTCGTCAGTGGCGCCCGCTCGGAGAAATCTGGATCGACGGGACGACAGGTGTTACAACTGATCAAAACTTATGCATAATACCTGTGCATAATTAACCAGTTTACTTAGATGGCTAAAGACAATCAATGTTTCCAAGGGATTGTTGCAAAGATTGAGCTTCAGCTTGGGATTTATACACTACGATACGTTTTACAGTGGGCGAATAAGTGGAAGGACAAATTAGCTAGGCTCTTCTTCACTTTCTTGTTCCATCCTTCATAGACCTTCGCTGTGCTAGGACTCATTTTACTTCAGAGATCTTTATCGTCCAACCTTCAGTCCGTATTTCATGAATCCCTTCACTGTTGCATGTCTTGACGTTGCTATTCTTTCCTTCTTTCGATCTCAAATCCTTTGATTTAGAATCAGTTGCAAATTTTCAGCATAAAATATTCTAAATAAGTGAAGAGTAGAGCTGTAGAAAAGTCATGAATGGAAACAGCACATATGAAGCATTCGGGTCAATTCGGGCATTCGGGTTCAGCCAAACTTTGTTTGACGCCTATTTGCCTTAATCGGAAAAAACACTGATAGAAGTTTGTGATTATAATTCCAGTCGTATAGCCAGGAAAAAGAAGTTTCCACTCAATAGGGCAGTCACTTCTCTACCTCTATCCGCCATGTTTGTGTTGTCGACGTTCTCCACCAAAAGGCCTGTTGCCAACCTGAGCTTGCGCGGTTTTGCAACTTGTGCAGGAACTGTTCTCTTGCTTCAATAAAACTCCTTCTCCACATCCCCGACAAAGGCTCTCCTACTGAGCATGGAGACGTTCACTACAAAAACACTGCAACTGACCCTGGTTCTAACAAAAATTTAGTAGAAAAAACTATTTTTCTGATTCAAAATGGATCAGAGGAGTTAGCATCAGGGCTGCTTGTTATGTTCTTTCAGTTGTTATACCCATCGGGTCTGTTCGTTCTAATAATTGACATAGAAAGGACATTTACACCTCGCTTTGGGCGTAAAGGTGTAAAGTGTTCACGGTAAGCAGTTCCTTGCCGACATCATCGATTCCTGTTTTTAATTCATCCGAAACTGTCATCCAAACTAGAAATCTAAGACCATCGCATTTGAAATTTCCAGGGCTCATGTTGTTCTGGCTGGTCTTGCTGAGCCCTTCATGTTTCGGTGTCCCTCGTACATTTGAATCAAGCGATGAAGATGGCTCATCGATGACTGCTTCCAATACGCTAGGCTATAGAATCGCATCAGAAATGCTTCTGAAATCTTTAAATTTTTCGGTAAGTGAAACATTTCTATCACAAAATTGTTGCCATCGAGAACAAAAACAGTGTTTGGCCCAGCCTCGCTATATATTACATCGATTGCTGCCCACCTGCGTACTTCCTACTCTTTTCCTTGTTGACTGAGACATCATGTTCTCTACCACTACTTCTACTCGTCTAATTGCTTGCAAGAATTTCAAAGCATGCAGCTAGTCATGGCAGAACTTGTACTTGCTGCGCCTTCTTCGCCCTTTTCCATTTGCAATTTTTTCCGAGTTGATTAATCTGTAGGAAGGAAGCAAGGAAGTGTAGGAAACTGGGATAAAATACAAGTTTCTCCTCAACGGTCACCCTTCAGAACGATGTCAACGATCAACGAGGCTTTTTTTTTTGAACAATCTTGTCGACGTTAAGAGCCAATGCTCCGGGTTTCTCGCGTATGGTGTGGATACGTTTTTCATAATCCTTATCGGCACTTGTCACTCAAACGTTATTAATTTTGTTCTTCAATAATACTAGTGATGTTATTAACTTTTCACAATATTTGCATTAGCTCGTCAGCAGTGAAAACTGCCCTTTCATCCTTCACAAAAGCAAATGGTGGAACTGGATAACGAGACCTCGATTCCCATCACCTTTCATATTTCGTTCATGGTCGTTTACTACGACTTTGTAGCATAAGGACTGTTAGCGAGAGGTTTCATTCTAAATGGTTCTCAGACAAGGAAGGTTCTTATCCATCAATAATGTCCTTCTCTCTACATTGATCAACGTTTCTTATTCCACATGTTTTTCCACTTTTTGTGTCATCACACTGACTTCACCGTCTTACCAAGGGGTAGTGTCAACGATACACTTTGAAATGAGCGTTCCTTGAAAGTCAGGGCGTGACCGGATCGTCTTTTTATGATTGTAGTCGTCGGCAATAATGCTTCTATAAATCATCACCTTCGCATGGATGAGTTTTTGAGAGGAACTAAGACCACTGTGTCGCGTAACCGCAAAGCGTCGTCTACATAAATCAAGAGTTCCCGAAATAACGAAACAACTGAGCCATTCCTATTTCTTGACTAGTACGACAACCCCGAGCACAAGCATGTATTCCATTTTTATAATCCACTAATTCTGGAATCTATTTTCGCAACGGACAGTCAAAACGTTGCTGAGTTCATAAAATTCCTTGGTCTTGTCTTCCCGAAGGTACGTTCAAGTGAAAAGAACGAGCTCAGCTGTGTCCAGTGCTACTTCTCTGACTGAAATGTATTCCATTTTTATTTACTTAAGTGTAGAGGTATTCAGACTAAGTTATAAGAACAGTTATGCCTAGCTGTTACCGCTAGCTGCTGCGGTCCCTGCGAGTGTACTGCTCCACACGAATAGACTACCGGTTTATTTCCATAGATACCAGCAATAATACAGTACAGCGCAATAATCTCTGCCGAATAGGGAGCGTGTCTCAGGGCCCGAGGCTGATGAGCTCCGCTTGTCCTCGCATGACCACTTTCGGACCGTCTCCAGACCGATGTTGTTCCTTCGCCGCCTAGTTTGTCCGCGATTCCCTGTAAGCCTAAAAGTCAGCTGCTAACCGTCAGATGATTCAAGCCTTGCTCTCTTGACCGTTTAACGAGAAGTACTGCGGAACTACTGGCTTTCAAAAAACCGAAAGTTTGCTGCAAGTTTTTTCAGGCGGATCCATGCGTGGATTTTTTTGAGTTCACTTGCGGAAATTGGATTGACACGCATCCTATCCCCAGCCATGAATCCAGCTATTCGCTGTTCGGGAAACTCTCTCATAGAGTTAAAGTACAGATGAGAGGTAAGCGATAGATACATGAGAGAGGTACAGATGAGATAAGGCTAAAAGTTATGAACAAAACTTCGTACTCGGATGAGATTCCAACCCGTAGATGTGCTATTCAGGCACTGTGCTCGTTATCCCTCACATCAGTTAACAAAACAAGTCAAAAGAAGTTATACTAAGAAAAACCCACAGCTGAAAGGCACAGTTCACTATAAAAGTGGTTCCTGAGATTACCCCATAGGAAAAATTTTAGGCTCCGTCGTATACCATACCTGACGCTCTCAGGTTGGAAAACGGCCTAACTAGAGCGTTCTAAAGGCTCACAGATTCTTCCGTGTGTATGCGCGGACGAGCTTCAACGGCATTGTAGAGGCTGCACCGAGCACAAGGGAACTCATGTAGAAAGTTCAAACAACTTTTCGTGACCCATAGCGAAAAGCGTGAAAAGCAATTCTGGACTGTTTTGGCTTGATGCGTTCAGTTCTTCTCGCAATTGCAACAACGGAAATCTCATCCGAATACCCTTTTCACATCATTTTCCCTTCCGCCGTAGTGATCTCGTACACCTCTATTTTTGCAACTTTTGAGAAGCCTGATTTTTTGCTTAACCAACAATTTTTCGCACCCTTCAACACCAATTCATTAATTCCAACCAGTACTTCCGCTTTTCGACTAAAAATTGTACCTCAAATCATCGTAAACTGTTAAAAGTTTCATACTAATGTGCGCCTAGGCTAACCCGAATTCTATCTGTCCGATGTCAGTTATTTGATACCAGACTCGTATGAGGGATAAAAGCACTGATCGACTGGCCACGTGAAGTTATTGTATAGGCCCACACCACACGCATTCAATACGCCACTACGATCCTGAATGGTAGTCGAATACGTGGGCCCATCCCTCTTGCGGGATTGATTCCGCTTCCAATACTTCATCCTACCCTTTATTTGTTAAGGGCTTACCACCTTGTACGTGATGATGCTGATAAGCTACGACATAAAAACCGTTAAGAGCAAGCGTGGTCTCAATATGGCAAGGTGCCGAGTGCCTGGCGCATGTATAGCACAAGTACGGGCACGAGTCCTTCCGAGACCGAAATTTTGTTCATAATTCGCCAAGCTTGTGAGACTTTCAGATCGCGTACTGCAGCAAAATAGCAGCAATTAACGCAACATGAAGACAAAAAAGTATTCTGAGTGTTGATAAATATCATATTGGAACGCTCAGGTTCAGAAGAACAGGAGGTACTGCTTTTCCGCCAAACGGACACATACACACTCCGAAGCACTTCCACCGCGGCCCGCCCATCATGAGCGGAGTTCTGCTCAAGTCTTGTTATTTAAGTAACCCGGTTCATTCCCAACTTATTCCAACTTGACTCCGTGTTTATAATCAAGTTGCGCTCTTTTCACACACCATTTCACCCACGTTCCGCCGCGCTCTCCCTCCTCCTCCCCCGGCTGGAGTCCGACCTAGTCACTCACTACCACCCTACCTTAGTGTCCCATCCCGCTGCCTCTACTCCTAGCAAATTTGCATGCTAGGTCCTCGGAAACAGGGATTATGAAACCCCGTTCTGACAAAACACGGACACAGACGCACCGACCGACAAACCAACTATTATACTTAGCGAGTTATATGCAGTAGGATTTCAGGAAGGATAGAGCTAAACTAAATATGAAAAACATCTGCTGCTCACTGTTAACTTTTTTGCATGGCTTCGTGTCCAAAGTATATTGTGAAGTAATCCTTTGATAGTACAAAAACTTCAGATGTATTCGAGTCGTCAGAGATGTTTGCCTCGAAATCCGTGAATGCCTTGAAGCTTATGTACCAAAAATGTATGGACAAGAAGGAACTAACTAAGATCGGCTCCAAACGATTACTGCAAACGATAAGGGTGTGTTCCGATGTAGTGTTAGTGTCTGAGTAGCTTAAATCCTGATCTTTGACTGCAGAGATATGGGGTATGGCCGATGATAGATGGCGATGACAAGTTTCAAGCTGACTACTTTGATTTGACGTCGCTGATGATTCATGTGACTGGATTCAGAGAAGTGGACGTCTTTGTGGCTCAGAAAGTTACGCTTGACAACAAAAATGTCTCAAGAAGACTCTTCCAGGTGAGAACATGCATTTATGGGCCCTGACTCGTGAAACTAACGTAAAAGCCTCACAAGAAAAGGATACTAGGTCGCAGTGGCCATGCAAGATTAGACGTATACTGATGTAAATACGTTCAAAAGCCGATCTCAAATGACAACTAGGGAAACTGGGCCCGTAACTTTGTTCACAGAATCGTTTCGAAGATTTTGAACCCAGATTTAAAGGCACTGTTCACGATAATCTAGGGGTATCCGGTATTTCACAGGTAGTGATAGGTAAGGCCTACATTAGGACAAAAACATAAAACGAGAAAATAGCGAAAAAAAGAAATATAAACGGTCCAAAAAAAGAGAAAAAGGGGTTGGACGAAATTCATAATGGAAAAACGGCGGTTAAGGGAATTTCAGGCGAGTAGACGAATGCGGCGTAATG